CCGAAGGAATCTTTTATCTTCTTGCCGGGAAAGATTTGATTACCAAGTTCGATTACCATAAGTGGAAGTTCAAACCTTATATCTCCGATATATAGGATATAATGTCAGAAAAAAATAAATTTTGGTAGATAGTATGGCTTGACAATGTCGAGCTAAGACTATCGCGAAGTAAACATAGGGTCTGTCTCAGCCTTGACTATGGAATCTGATTTCCTAGCGACTATGTTCCCCTTTTTTCCTGCAGTCTTTCCAGCTATGGATCCTACAATTCCCTATGAAGCTCCCTGACAACCCCTTCAATCCATCTTCATCTTGGCTGGCAGCCTAGATTGAGCCCTGGGACTGATCTTCCCGTTGGCTTTACTGCAGCAGTACTCACAGTGAAAGGTCAGCGGGGGCATAGCGAAATTCCTCACCGAGATGACTGGACAACCTATCGACCAGATCGCACCAGCGGAGCGATTCAAAGCCTCTTTGGAGCGAATTCCTTTGAAGTAGTTAGTGCTCTAATTGAGTGAGCCGTGGATCATAAATGATGAGCGTAGCTTAATTTAGCTGATCTCACACCGAACTATAAATAAATAAGTGAGTGGCTCTTTATAGCCCAATGGCTACCACCGGAAGTGCGCTAAGTTAGTCACAGGGGAACCCCAAGTTCTTTCTCCGACTCTATAAAATAAACTTGGATGGCTTGCTTGCTTGTTTAGCTTGCCCCCTCTTTGAATGTGTACAATTCGAGCAAGCAAATGGCTAGCAGGGCCGAGGAACCACAATGAACGGGACGACAGAAGTTCCACAAGAATATGACCAGAGAGATATGTTCTTCTTCGTGCATGCAGGTCTGGTTCCTGAGAAAACAGATATCTATTAGCGAGTTTCGCCGTACAATATATAACCCGGGACTGGCTGAAATGAATGAATTCTCATGGTTTCCGCCGGCTAATAGGGCGAGCAGCGTAATGGGGGCGGACGACGTGAGTGAGAGCCCAGACCATAGCGGCTTTAGAGACTTCTCTCTCGGCGACGAAAACGTTCTCCGGGAGGCTTTCCTTTCTGCTTTACTGTGATTTACCCATAACCATCAGCGGCAAGGATTATGGAAGAGGCCAAACCAACCCAGGTACACCACAAGTAGATACGGTTGGAGTAGCAGATCCTATAGAAACAAAGACAAAGCCCGAGGCAGATCCAGACGCGTACCTAGGTGGCGCAGCATCCCTTCGAGTTGCTTGCCACCCCTTTTATCCTTTCTCCCTCCTCCGGTCGCCTCGTTACCTTTTTTGCTTTCTCACATTGACTTCTTTCCGCTTTTTCACTTCTTTTCCTTTGATTCAGCTGTATTAGTAGCTGATGATTCCTTTTTTCCAAGTGTGTCCGATTGGTATCACTCGCATAAGACTTTTCCTTTATTTGTAGCGGCCATGTGGCATAGTCCATCTTTTCCTTCTATTTTTCCCTCAAAATAGAATATATACTTGCCTTTGTACTGATTTGAATATATGTAGGAAGGCTTAGTGGAAGGGCGGCACCCTCTTCAGAGGTGCCCGAGGGGCACGGTCTCTGTCTTTGACTTGGCCTTCGGCCTTGAGAACACAATGATTTCGGACTTTCTCTTTTCCGAGCCTTACTAGGCGCGTATTGCTTTCTTGTCTTTTTTAGCTTGAGGTCTATATAGACGATCTGACTCTTTGTCAAGTGAGAGTAAGAATTCTCCTATTGTGATAGCGGTTAGTGGAACGTGCAAGATAGGGCCAGCTAGGCGAGCAGGGTCAAGAAAGAAAAAAAGTCGTAGGCAGAGATGACTAAGTGAAGAAGGCCCTACCCCTTATTCATTCAAAAAGGGAGTAGCGGAGAGAGACGTTCCCGAAAGGCACCTATCCGTGGGAGACAGAAGATGAATGGGGAGCCGACTAGAAGACAGATAAAGGAGCAGGCTGGAGCGGGGCTTTAGGAAGAAGGGGGCCGGAGATGGACTTGGATGATGGAAAAAGCGGTCTTCCTCGCTTGCTCCAATGCTTGGTGAATCAGTCAATGGAAAATTGCTAGCGATCTCAGAAGCACAAGGAAGCAGAAGAAAGAAGGCCCGCCAGAAAGAGGGGAGACCCCGGAACGATGTATGAAAGAGACTCTTGAAAGCTATCGAAGTGGACAATAGAGTGCTGCTTCTTATGAAAAAGCCCTCAATGCTGTGTGAAAGAGTGGCGGGGAATGACTGGGCTCAGGAGTAAAGTCAACATAGTGTGGAAAGTGGGGTCGACCTTCTAGTGCCTTGTAGGGAAAGAGAGGTTCTCTAGGCAGATAGAGAAGGAAGGGCCAATAGAGAAGAATGTTGAAATGAGAGTTGCATTTAGTAGCGCCGGCGCCTCATCCAAATGAGACTTGGAAAGCGAGATAGGGCCTAACTGGGAGGCAGGAAGAAGACTACACGAGTGGTTCGGGACGGAATCTCTTTGACTTTCTGGTGCCATAGCTTCGACTCCACCCCAGAAATAGTAATAGGAGGGAGCCGCTACTTCACCGGGAGATCGTGATGAGGCAAAAGGGGGCTTTATTAAAGTCCTCTGGGTCGTCCACTAAGTGAGTGAAAGAGGTCTCATTGGGAGAATTGGGAAGAGAGAAGGCCAGCCTCCCACTATGTGAAAGAAGAGCTTTTTCTCTCATATTCACTTCTATAGAATATATATAATAGGTAGTTCGCTTAGCCGCAGCTGAAGCCATAGATCTTGCCCGGGATGCTCCCAAGGTTCATCGGGACATTTTTTTCAACAACTGAACTAGCATCACCGTTCTTAAGCCTAGACTTGTTTTGGGGTTCCAAACCTCCTCCTATTGCCTTTACCCAGCGGCAAGACGCTTAGTTTTGTCGGAAAGGGAATGCTTATTCCCCTCTACTGTGCGGGTGCTAAGACTAGGCGAAGAATTAAATGAATCAGTTCGCTTGACCAACCCGAGCCTTCGAGCCTATAGTTCTTCTGATTTGGCTAACATCCTTCGATGACAAGCCGACCGAAGGAAGACGCACCGGGAGCCTACTTCTATCTCATCAGAAGCAGGCGCATAGGCTATAGAATATAGAATCCCACCTTCTACTCTATCAGCTACTCTAATTTTGAGTTGGTCATAGGTTGACAGTTTTCGGGGCTCACTTTTCGGGTCAGAACTATTGGAAGACGAAAGATAACTTATTTAGACGAATAGTGTGCCGATGCCATTACCCCCAAAAAGCCTACATTAGCAGTGCGGGTTAAATCAGACAGAAACCAAGTCCAAGAAGACCGAGGAGGCCTTGGGGTAATAGAACAAGGGAGGAAGAAAGGAAGGAGCTTCGGCTCCAGCTCCGCAAAGGTAGACTTTTTCCAGGTTAGCTAGAGAGAGCGATATTCATCTTTTATAGCTTGTTTACCGGAGGCCTCGTTTTCAGGTTTGATAGAATAAAGAAGTAGAATAGATCTCTCTTCTTAAAGTATACAACACTTCCCGCAAGGTTCACACCGCGGAAAAGGTGAAACGTCGTCTCTGTCAAATAAGCTATGATACTCTGGTAATACCTGTTGCTGATCCTCATCTTGTACTTGTGAACAGCAGCAGAGGCCGCATATGATAGGTTATTCCAGAATCAATGTGAATATCGCCGAATAGGAGACTTCGTTGCACAATCGTGAGTCCCTTGAATATAGAGAGAAGTTTGACTTGTAAAAAAAGACGTGAGTGTCCCTAAAACTATGCCCTTGTTCTAATAGTACAAGCTCGCTATAAATCCAGTTTTTTGTATATAGATAGAGAGCCCCTAGCCCGAGAGACTAGTTCTCTCCAGTGTCTTTGACAACTATATACGAAAGAGTACGATAACAGGCCTTTCAGTGCCATCGAAAGAGCCTAACGCCTATATCCTACCAACCTCAATCTGCACGTCCGAAAGGGACCCTCTAATTCTATCATTCAGAAGCCTCAGGACCGTATCCATGAGGGTACAAAGATTTTTTTGAGGCTAGCAACCGATAGCAACTGTAGCATTAGGATCGACATTGGAAGATTTTCGTCAAGGTCATACTTAAACCGTATGATCCTTATAACTCATGATAGTTTGACTAAGGAAGCATGCATTGGAGCTTACTTGTTCTCAAAACAGGTGGTCAGGCTAGTACGGAAGTCGGTATTTTGATTCACATCACTGTATCTAAAACAGTGTTCTTCATCCCGCTTACGGAGGTATTCCGAAGCCACCCGAATTGTTGCCTGTACCAGTCTCCCTCAATCGATCAGGGTATCCTCGTATCATCCCTCTCATCGCCGGATGATGATGCGGAAGGATGACCGGGCGGACGTTTTAGTTAAGCTCTATCTGTCTCTCGGGACTCGATCGAGTCATTCTTGTGTGTACTTGTCATTCGTAATGGTTTTAGTAACTCTTTCTTGCTTTCGTCACTTGTCATTCAGGTACTAGTATCTGTAAATCAACTCCACTCTTTCTTGTACCTGGCACTAGTAAAATTGTATCTCGGTTCATGGCATGTTAAAACGACTCTATCGGCTTATAGTCATTCCTGGCACTCGGCGCATGTCTTTGATCAACACCGGTTCCGTCACTCGTATCTGGTTGAACCAGTACTTCCTTTCTGCCGTTCCTAGGGACCACCCACTCCCGTTCCTTGGTTGTTGGTGTATTGGCTCTTTGGTTTGGTTCCCGGTCAAAGCCGTGAAAGCAAGATAGGGTGAACACATCTGTATCGTAATATGGGTATGAGTATAGTATATGTACAAACAGGTAAGTGAACTACTCCTTCGACTGGTCTGCCCGCCGTTTGGTTTGAGGGCCTACATCGACTAGGCCTCCCGCTGACTGAGGGAAGCGATCTGTCTTAAACAAGAAGATTTTCCGGGTGAACAATGAGATGGCATGTGAATGAGTGATATGGGGAGAAGGAATCAATTCTTGTACGTATGATATGGGGTCGGTACGATACACATATGGTGAACAGTCAAAGCGAGGGATGGGGTCTAGTTAAATACGATATGGGGAGATATGGGATACAGCTAATGTCGATAAGGAAGGGAGGGAAGGAGCTCTTGCCTTCAACTCAGAGCAGAACGTTCCTTCCGCAACGCAAGGCCTATTTGCTTTCGTAGCAGCCAAGGATGAGTTCGATCCATTAGGTTCTTCTATTTGTTCAGAAAAGAAACGAGAGACAAGAAAACATCTTTGATTACGATTAAAAGGAACAATCTAAAATAGACCAAGATCTATCTAATTTCGGGTCATTTCTTGGTGAACATGATCTGCCATAATCTCTTCGATCCCTTCATTTATGTGCCAGAATAAAGAGAGATTTGGTAGGAAAGTGGAAGATACTTTTTTTTATATGATAATCAAAGGGAGTGGGAAAGCTGCAGTAATTCTTTGGAAAAGCCCGCTTCTCTTTGTCTTCGAGCTTGAATTCTTCAATCCACTGATTCGTTCCTTCATATACCTCCCCACCAATAGATAGAGACAAATGGGAATAACCGAACCACGTCTACAAAATGCCAGTACCATGCAGCTGCTTCAAAGCCAACGTGATGCTCCTTGGTCAGATGACCAAGATATTGGCGAATACCACATATGATCGAGAAAAGAGTACCTATAATCACATGAAAACCATGAAAGCCAGTTGCTAAGAAAAAGGTAGAACCATAAATACTATCCGAAATTGTGGGGGGCGCTTGATAATATTCCATTCCTTGAAAGGCGGTGAATACTAGAGCCAGTGAAACGGTAGCTACTAAAGCGTAAACTGCTCGTTTTTCCTTCCCCGCGAGTATAGCATGATGAGCCCAAGTTACGGCAGCTCCGGATGAAAGGGGAATAAGAGTATTAAGAAAAGGGATTTCCCGAGGATCTAAAACCGCAATCCCTTTTGGGGGCCAAATACCTCCGATCTCTACCGTAGGTGCCAAAGAAGAATGAGAAGAAGCCCGAAAAAGAGCAAAAAGGAACATAACCTCCGAAACGATAAACAGAATAAACCCATATCGAGGTCCTAATTGTACGACTTTGGTATGATGTCCTTCCAACGTGGATTCACGTAGAACATCGCGCCACCATACGAACATGGTATATAGGATAAAGATTAGGCCCAAACTGAGAAGTGTTGCACCCCCTTGAAATGAGTGCATGTACATCACACCTCCTACGGTGGTTGCCAAAGCTCCGAGTGAACCCGAAATAGGCCATGGACTTGGATCTACCAAATGATAAGAGTGCCTCTGAGATTCAATCATAAACAACTTTGCCTCGGTTGCATGTAAACCCCCCCTTCACCCCCGCCCCCTAAAGTGGTAAAGAAGGCTCTTTGGGGTCTCTCTTTCTATCTGACAGGACAAACAAATAGGAAGGGATGGTTCTTTCATTGCAAGAAGTCTAACTAGAAAAGGATCTCCCTATTACTTTGAGAAGAGAATTGTTGGTTTGACCGACGAACTACGTGGGAAAATGGATCTTCTTTCTTTTCAGAAAGCATTTTTTGAAAGTAACAATTCCATTCAGTTCGGTTTCGGAAAACTTTCCGCCGGGGCCTAACATCAAAGGCGCAGGTTGATCTCTATGGTTGAGGCTGCAATTCATTTTTACACGTGGGAAGGGCTTACTCTACTAGAGGCTCGGCTTGGTCTCGCTCCCTTCCCGTACTATTCCTCCCCACTAAAAAAAGAGCGATTGAGAATCTCGAGAACCTTTCTGAACGTCTGTCTTCGCGGGGCGATTTGAAAAGGAGTATATCTTTCTTGTAGTGCCTTCCATTCCACTATTCTGATCGAGAAAGAATCTCTTCTGAACGACCAAGTCATAATGAGATTAAAAACCGATGCTTCCTTGGCCGTGTGGAACATGGATTAGCATTATGTCATTCCTACAAGTGATCCCCCATCCAGGATTGGAAGAAGTGCTATATGAGGACTTCGAGATCAAATAGAAGATGTTCCTTTCCATTCCTCGTGAGCCACTGATTTCTCCGAAACAAGAGATCAAAGTGATCTTCCTCCTTTTTCCCAATAAGTCGACGGCCTTACACCATTGGGAGACTTCGAATAAACTGGAGTACATATAGGATAGACCGGTGCTAAAACCTTTTCTCAAGATATCTTCCAAACTGTTGGCTCCTTGCTCCGGATGTTGTTCGTACGGTGTGAAAGCAGTTGGTTACGTAGTTTTAGAATTCTGCTGATCCCAAGTAGTCCATCTCCATCATTGCATATGGCAATATAGAAAGTAAAGAGGAAAAGGCATGACCAGAAGAATTGTGTGAAATAAGTGAATTGATCTAGTTGAGGCATGATTGATTCAGTGATGTGACTTCTCCTGCTCCAGTAAATCAGTCTGGAGACTTGCTAATTCAATTCAATTGCCTTGGTTTTTCCAAGAAATACATGGGAAAAATAGGGAGAAAGAAATGGGATTGTGTCAACAGGCCCCTATTCCGACGAAAAACAGCCCCTTTTCTTTTGTTTAGCCTGTTCCTATCAGATAAATTCTTAAGAGAAGAGGAAAAAAGTCCTCCGTCATAGGCGGCCGAGGGTACCTTCCTAGAGGTTCTTTTTTAATTTGAATCAGGTCTCCTCACTTATGTTTATGCTTATGATAATATATGCCGATCCCTAATCTCACAAATAGATTTCGACCCAATCTCCCATTTGTGAAGCAGATCATGAGTGTATTCCGCCTACATTTGTTAGGTTCTTTGATTCTGTAAGTTTGTCTTGTTTAGATTGCATTGCACGAGAGCGCCCTTTTTTACTTTATATAAAAAAATATAGATTTACAATAAATAATAGGTAACCTTCATCAATAAACCTTGCATAAGAGATAGATCCTGCTGACTTGAACTGAGCACGAATTTCATTTGTATTTGAGCGTAAAAGCAGCATATTGCTTTGAAGGTTTCCAACCTACTGGTTCAGCCAAGAACCAGAAACCGAATGAAGGAAGCGAAGATCAGAGTCAAAATATGCCGTGGAGAAGAGCTTACTTATGAGCGGAAGACGAAGTCGCAGGGGCTGGATTGAATCCTTCTCAGGAAGAGCTGATGCTTGCTGGGTCTTTTTGTCTAGCAGCTATGGAAAAGCCTATAGTATAGGGCTGGAATCGCAAGAAAACCCAGTCTCCAACTGAAAATTCCCTCTCACTTCTATGTTGATCCTCATATTGCTTCATTCTAACTTGTGCCCTTGACTGTCCTTCGAAATCTGTATGACAGTCGACTGCTCCCTGAGATGACTCTCTGCCGAGGCAACATTGGAACCTTCAGGCTGGGGCATAGGTATAAGTGTTGGAGCATAGCGATAGAGGGCTTCAATTAAAATGGGGTCATTTTCATTGTGGTATGATAAGTAGTGTCGTACCACCACTCTGCTAAGGATAACCACTTATATACCACTTCTGTGGCGCGAGTGGCCTTCTGTGCTACTCATTAATCATTAATCTGGGGTGAAATAACAGAATGATGTTAGAGCCCCCTTCAATAAGAGGTCCAGCTATTTTGCATTCCTCGGAACAAATTATCAAGCTAGTGCTACTGCCTTCCTTCGTGCGCCTTCTTTGATTTCTGTGGCTTTACTGGTACGAGCCGCGATCCCAAGTCTTGTTCGCATGCTTCCGGAACTTGTTCGTCAACACCAGGTCAGCAGGTGGCTCTTTCATCAGACATGGCTATGCTCACCATATTGCAGTATAATGGGCGATATCTCCTACGCTGTCTTTGTGGATTCCCACCGAATTCCAAGTAGTCTTATCTTTCTGTGCGGCTTTCTTTATAGGGATCCTGCCGGCACGGTACTCCGTTTCCAGCAAGTTCGTGAAGGTCCAGCAATTTGAAAGGGGATGTTGTACGTACCGATGTTTTTGACAGTACTACTTAGGGTCCTCAGTACGACTTCGTTTGGCCTGTGTTCCAAATTCAATGCTCAGGCAGCTCAAAAGCCTTATTCTTCAACAGGAGCTGGTCTAGTACTTCGGGGCAGTAACTCAAAGTGGTACCAGGTCAGTCCCTAACTATCTGCTTCCACTAAATACGCGGTAACGCTAACTCATGTGCTGAACACAGGGTCAGTCACGGACCTCTTAGGTTTTTTCAGAAAGAACAAAAAAATTATCGTTAAGGTCCCATAGATAGAACCTGATACGAAGTACTGAACATAAGACCTATGTAAGGGAGTCAGTCCTACTCATAAAGGTGAAGGACCAAGCACTAGATCGTTGAAAACAAAAAGAAAGACTGACTTTTAGATAACTTATTTAGGAAGGAGCCATCATAACTGCTCGCCATCGGAATAGGCTTTCAAGGCAGCTGCCAAGTCAGCCAGTAAGTAAGCAGGTAATAGTCAGCCAGCAAGCTGGGCCGTTCTTGCCAGTTCGAGTACGAGACTTCGGTGTAGTAGTACTATAACGGTTTTGACACATACTAAGGACTCCTTTTGTAAAGCAACTTCTTGTGCTTTTATTCCAGCCAACGAAGCTCCGTCTAATCTAATAGGGGCTCGGTTCGGTTCACCCATCATACCTACTAAGTCGAAGGCAGGCGAACTCGGACCAGTGCAACAAAGTTTAGACTCTCGCGATTGGACTCTATAACAGAAGAGGTTGTGCAAAAAGGAAAGGGAAAAGAAGCTTTGCAAAAGCTAAGGCCGAAGCTCTTTGGGCGATATTATAGCATAGCGCATTTCCTCATGATTAGGGTGATGTGGTTGTTCCATCGGTTTTCTTTATGGAGGGATCTCTTATTCAAGATATTCTTGAAAGGCGGATTGACAAGTGCGACGAGGAGATGGAGATTCCAGAAAAGTCTACGAATAAGTAAGTGAAGGCTTGGCTTACGTGCTCAGCTCAAGCAAGAAGAAGCTAGAAAGTCAAGCCTATTGAATGGTGGCAGAGGGAGTGGAGGTCTAAAAGTCAGAAGAGAACACTGTGCAAAGGGTACGCGACCACAACACACTGTTGTCCCTTTTTTTTCTTTCTTTTTCTTCGCACTAGGAGTAGCTGTAACTTAGCAATTCGATTGTACTCAGATCGAACATGGCAATGAATGTCAGTGTGCTCTCTGGGCCTTACTTCTTGATGACTGATCTACATTCTCAGCTGATGACATTGAATGATTTGAGGACGCTGGGCGGCCAAGCTTGCTTGCGCTTGGGCTGTTTCGCCGTGGCTTGGGGTATAACGGTTCGGAGAGATCGACGAGCACCTCACACTGCCATGCCAACCGCAGCTTTTGAATCAATTTTGGGGTGATCTTTGACCAGCCGATGCAGCGGGAATGGGATATTGAATGAAAGTCAATCGAAGAGACAAGTGACTTCCCCGCTAAGGAAATCTGCTAACACTCTAAACGATTCAAATACAGATCAAAGTCTATCACGCCCTCATAGGAATCGAGGAAAGATGGATTTTAGCAGCTGGGTAGTTCACCACTGTTCGAGCTTGATAGGTAATAGCAAATCCTAGATCACCCTTTTTAACTAAACTCAGGGTATTGATAGCAAGAAGATTCGCAGTCAAACTATCCAGTTCAGGAAGTTCTCTTGCGGGATAGGCTAATCCGAACAAAAAGCATCCTAATAAAGGAAAAAATGGTATTTAGGACATCAATCCAGAGGGGATGAAAAGGAGGCACACAACAGCTCATCCAACAGGATAGGTCTGAAAACCTGGCGCATAAAGCGTAGCTGATGAAACCGCATTCCCTTCTATTGGCTCCTACGGATGCTTTCCTTGAGTTCATCCCGCTTTGGAGAAACCTCCTTCATTCTACCTCTTGCCATTGTCTTTTCAGTACCTTGGTTAGCTTCCTATTCAGCCAGTATGCCTCTTTGCACACCTTCCCTTTCGGTCATCTCACTCTTTTCTCTCATCCCCGCAATAGGGATCAATCTTTTACACCGATGTATCGTACTCTCTCCTTCCGATGCTGCAAGCTGAGATAGTTGAATTAGATGTCAGTTCCTCTAGCAGACAAGAAGGCCATCAATGAAACTCTTCTTTCATAGCTTGGCTAATTGCTTTCCTTTCCATGCTCTGGTATGAACACTATAAGGGATTGAGCTAAGAAAGCTGACTAAATCGGGTTCGAATGAGAGTCTGGCATCCTTAGGGATCTGGCACTACCTTCCAGGTTTGGTTGGCACACAAGATATTCCTTGAACGATAGGAATCTGGGAGAAGTCAATTCCTTTTTTCAATGCTTTGGGGATCGATCACCACAAGAAGGAGCTACACATGAAGAATGGCAAGA